GAATATGGCAGGATTTGGATCTCTTCAACAGCTATGAGTGGAAATCAACAGAGGATTTTCAGCATCATAAGAAAACTGTTGAAGACAGCCGAATCTTTAAATTTCTGGCAGGGCTAAACGTTGAATTTGATGAAGTTAGAGGGAGAATTATTGGGAGACAGCCTCTTCCTTCAATTGGTGAGGTGTTCTCAGAGGTTAGAAGGGAGAAAAGCAGAAGAAATGTAATGCTGGGAAAGAAGGGTCCTGGAATTGCTGTTGAAGGATCGGCTTTAGAGGTTGCCTCATCCTTTAAAACATCAACTTATCCGCGTAGAACAGGAGAAAAATCCAGTGAAAAATCACAGGTCTGGTGTGACTATTGTAATAAGCCTCGTCACACTCGTGACACATGTTGGAAACTGCACGGAAAACCTCCAAATTGGAAAAACAGAGGAGAGAAGTCTGGACGAGGAGTTCCTACTGCTAATGAAGCTGATGCTGGCCCTTTCACCAAAGAACAAATGGAGCATCTTCTTATGCTACTGAAATCCAGTTCTACCTCATCTGACTTTCCTAATGCTTCTATGGCTCATACAAGTATTGGATCTAAGGCTCTATTCAATTCTTTTTTGTCTAATTCCTCAACCTTTCCTTCTTCTTGGATCATAGACTCTGGAGCCTCAGACCATATGACAAATTCTTTTAAACTCTTCCAATCATATACACCATGTTCTGGAAATAAAAAGATCAAAGTTGCAGATGGAGGTTTCTCTCCTGTTGCTGGAAAAGGTTCAATACAGATCTCAAAAAATGTTAACCTGAAATCTGTCCTTCATGTTCCAAAATTGGCCAGCAGTCTTTTATCAGTTAGTAAACTAACAAAAGATTCTAATTGTTTGGCTATTTTCGATGAATCTCATTGTGCTTTTCAGGACAAGAATTCGAGGATGACGATTGGCAGAGCTAGAATGATCAATGGCCTTTACTGTCTTGAGGATAATTCACCTAGTGCTCAAATTGCTCAAGAGTATAGTAGTAATATTTCTGTATCTGCTTATGAACAAATAATGGTTTGGCATTACAGATTGGGCCATCCTAGTTTTATTTATCTAAAACATTTGTTTCCTTTGCTTTTTAAGAATGTGAACCCCCTGAAACTGAAATGTGAAAGTTGTTTGCTTGCTAAAAGTCAACGAAAATCTTATGTCCCAAGGCCTTATTTACCATCAAAACCATTTTATTTGTTTCATAGTGATGTTTGGGGACCCTCAAGGGTTACTACTGTTTCGGGAAAAAGGTGGTTTGTAACATTCATAGACGACCATACTCGTCTATGTTGGGTTTACTTAATGCATAAGAAGTCAGAAGTAGCAACCATTTTTCAAAATTTCTATAACATGATAGAAAATCAATTTCAAACAAAAGCAAGTATTTTGCGCTCTGATAATGGAACAGAGTATTATAATAGTATCCTTGGAACATTTTTTGAAGAAAAAGGGATTTTACATCAGTCTTCTTGCACTGATACCCCCGAACAAAATGGAATTGCCGAGCGTAAAAACAAACATCTGTTGGAAGTCGCTCGTGCCATGATGTTTTATATGAACTTAACAAAATATTTTTGGGGGGATGCTGTTTTAACAGCATCATACCTAATTAATAGGATGCCTTCCAAGGTCTTACAATATAGTACTCCTTTAGAGTGTTTTAAAAAAAATTTCCCTGAATCAAGAGTTAATTCAGATTTGCCTTTAAAAATATTTGGTTGCACTGCTTATGTGCATATTCCAAAGAAATCTCGGTCCAAGTTGGATCCTAGGGCCGAAAAATGTGTCTTTGTTGGTTATGTTCCAAATAAAAAAGGGTACAAATTCTTTAATCCTCTCACACGGAAAGTCTTTGTCACTATGGATGCAACCTTTTTTGAAGGTCTTCCTTTCTTTAACAAACCTTTGATTCAGGGGGAGAATTCTAGTGAATCAAATTTTTGGGAAACTGAAGCTTTACCAACTATAATTTTTGAAACAGATAAGGAAACGAAGATCCCTCAATTTGATAGTGCAGAAACTGATATTGGTTTATCAGATATGGAAATATTACGACGAGAAAAAAATCGTTCCAATCTTGAGCCTGTGGTATACACTAGGAGAAATATTTTTAAAAAGGGTGAAGGTCCATTGATGAGTTCAGCTCCTGTTCATGAGAAGTCCTCGAGGGAAGTCTGTCCAAATACATCAGGTAATACTTTACCTTTCTTTTCTTCTGCTGTTCCAGAATCTGACCCAGTTTTAAACCTTCCTACTCAAGAATCTGATCTTGATCTTCCCATTGCCATTAGGAAAGGAACCCGTACTTTTACTAGGCATCCAATTTCCAAATATGTGTCCTATGATAACCTTTCCCCTAAATATAGAGCCTTTACCACTGAAATTTCAAAACTTGTGATTCCTAGAAACATTAAAGAAGCGTTGGTTGATCAGAACTAGAAATCTGCAGTGTTTGAAGAGATGGAAGCATTGAGGAAGAATGATACATGGGATGTGGTAGAGTTGCCTAGGGAGAAAAAGATTGTTGGGTGCAAATGGGTGTTTACAGTTAAAAGCAAAGCAGATGGTACTGTAGAAAGGTACAAGGCCAGATTAGTTGCGAAGGGTTTTACACAAACCCATGGAATAGATTATCAAGAAACATTTGCCCCTGTTGCTAAGATAAATTCTATTCGGGTCCTTTTATCTCTTGCTATTAATGCAAATTGGCCTTTGTACCAACTTGATGTGAAAAATGCCTTTCTTAATGGAGACCTAGAAGAGGAGGTGTTTATGAGTCTTCCTCCAGGTTTTGTAGACAAATATGGTGTTGGAAAAGTTTGCAAACTGAAGAAATCTCTTTATGGACTTAAACAATCACCAAGAGCTTGGTTTGAACGCTTCAGCAAAGCGGTTAAAAAATTTGGTTTCTTACAAAGTCAGGCTGACCATACTTTGTTTTATAGGCATTCAAAAGAAGGTAAAGTTGCAATCTTAATTGTATACGTCGATGACATTATTTTAACAGGGGATGATTGTGGAGGATTAGAGAATTCGAAGAAGTTTCTGGCCAAGGAATTCGAAATCAAGGACTTGGGAAACTTAAAGTATTTTCTCGGGATGGAGTTTGCACGATCCAAGGAGGGAATTGTTGTAAGTCAGAAGAAGTATGTGCTTGATTTGCTCAAAGAGACAGGTATGATGGGATGCAGGCCAGCTGAAACTCCCATGGAGCCAAATTTGAAACTTCAACCAGCTAGTGTAGAGAAAGTAAGAGACAGAGAAAAGTTTCAAAGACTAGTTGGAAGACTTATTTATTTATCACACACTCGGCCTGACATAGCATTTCCAGTAAGTATTGTTAGTCAGTTCATGCATTCACCAGGCTCAGAGCACTTTGAAGCAATTCATAGAATCCTAAGGTACCTAAAGGGAACACCTGGCAAAGGTATTTTCTTTAAGGCACGAGGACATCTTCAAGTTGAAGCCTATACCGATGCGGATTGGGCTGGATGTATAACAGATAGAAGATCAACTTCTGGATATTGTACGTATGTGGGAGGTAATTTGGTAACTTGGAGAAGTAAGAAGCAGAATGTTGTGGCAAGGAGCAGTGCAGAAGCAGAGTTCCGGGCTGTTGCTCAAGGTATTTGTGAAGTGATATGGATTAGAAGAATATTACAGGAATTGAAGGTTTCAGAAGTACTTCCTATGAAATTGTATTGTGACAATAAAGCGGCTATTTCTATTGCTCACAATCCAGTTCTTCATGACCGAACGAAACATGTTGAAGTAGATAAGCACTTCATCAAAGAAAAAATAGAAGGAGGTGTAGTCTGTATGACCTATGTGCCAACTAGAGACCAAGTGGCAGATCTGCTTACAAAGAGTCTTCCCAAAAAACAGTTTGATTTGTTAGTGAGCAAGCTGGTGATGAAAGATATCTTCAAACCAGCTTGAGGGGGAGTGTGGAAAAATCTGTATTTTTGGGAAGTAGAATATTGAGTGTGGGAAAATTTGTAGTTTTGGGAAGTAGAATATTGAGTAATAAAACCGTGTAAATTAGGAGAGATTAGAGGAGCTAAATTGGGGTAAAATCTTATTCCTAGGATTAAGGATATAATTGTGTATAGTTTCCTAATATAGGCTGAAACCTGTTGTATATATTCTTTTGAATCAATGAAATAAAGTATTCCCCTAATTCATTATTTTCGAGTCACTGTTTTCCCTGGATCTGCATTTTCTTCAGCAAAAACTTTCCTGTTCCTTGCTTTCCAGATTTGCCACAAAATATTTACACAGTGTTACGTGATCCTGTCCTTTTGTCTCTCATCCTAGCTCCTAAATATCCCTTTCCACCATCTTACAAAGTTGCTTCTCGTGTCATTCAACCCGTCCCATTGCAGAGGTGCTAATTTCGAAGTGGTTTCAGCATTTTTGCAGAAAAACAGCACGTGTTTGACTGTTTCCACTACTTCCCCACAACATTCACACATTGGACTTCTTCTTCCTATCCTCTTGTTTATTTGCTCATTCACTGGTATCCTATGGTGCAGGCATCTCTAGATGAAATGTTTGAGTTGTGTTTCATCTGCTGGGATCACACTCCTTTCCAGATGTTCGATATCTTTTGAGCATATCTAGTGCTTTCTTTATTCTCTTCCCTCCTTGTCATCTGCTGTTGTAGATGTTCTTCCATTGCTACAGCATAGGCTGACTTTACAGTAAAGAGCCCAGACTTTGTGCATCTCCAATACCTTCTGTCTTTGCAGCCTGTTATACTTATAGGGATAGCCATGATTTTCTGGATATCTTCTGCTATGAACCACTTTTGAGTATCTCCTGGTTCCATTCTCTTTCTCTCATCAGCTCTGCTGTTGTCCTGATTGTGCATTCTGAATTCCTTCTAGTTTTGATCCTACCATCTGCACTACCTGGAATCCACTTGTCATGCCAGATGTCAATGGTTTCTCGATCTCCCACTTTTTTCCATAGTCATTTGTTCAACAGCTTCCTGGTTCCCATTAGACTCTTCCATATCCAAGAAGATGCTTTTGGAGGGTCTTTATCCCAATCTTGTGCTCTTCCTAGATACTTTGACCTCATCACCCTACTTACAAGTAGGTTTGGTTGTGTGAGCATCCTCCAAAGCTGCTTGGCTAAGAGGGCATCATTGAATTTCTCTATATCTCTAACTCCGAGCCCCCCTCTTCCTTTCACATGAGACATCTTTTCCCAGCTAGTCCAGTGCATCCTCCTTTTGCTTTCTCCATTGCCCCACCAGAACTTTGCTACCATTTTACCTATATCTTTGCAAAGCACTTTTGGGAGTTTGAAACAAGACATGGTATAGGTAGGAAGTGCCATTGCCACAGATTTTATAAGTACCGCTTTTCTTGGTGGGCTCAGCAAATGCCTCTTCCATCCTTGCAGCTTGTCTTGTACCTTTGCTTTGATGTATCCAAAAACTTGTTGCTTGGATCTCCCTATCAGCATAGGTACTTAGGTAGTCCCAGGTACTTCCCGCTTGTAGCTTCCTTCATATTCCCCAACTAAGAACGTATTTCCTTTATCAGATTCCTGCACGTGTTTGCACTAAAGAAAACAGCAGATTTCTCATAGTTTATTACTTGCCTTGAAGCCTTGTCATAGATAGCAAACATCTGTTTCATTTGCTGAGCTTCCTGAATACTGGCTTTACGATTGTCTTAGTGATTTGCTTCTTTCGAATTTCATTTTATGTTTTTGAGATCAAAGAGTAGCTTTTGTTTTAAAAACTTGAAAATGAGAAAAAGAAAGAAAAAAGAAAAAGAGGGATTTACACTAAATTCCAATGTGTATGATCAACTACTTGATGATGTTTTGGATGCTAGAGCTTTTACATACTGCATTGACAATTCAGACAAATTAAAGTGAACTTCATATATTTAACATGAGGCCAGCTAATCTCAGGCTTCAGAATTCACGATAATTGTCTGAATTTAATGAATAGTTACATAGGTGAAAATCAAATTTAACATTTTGCTATAATTATTGAACCCAATAAGAGTGATCCTATTAGTAGTATGGTGGTATCATGAAAGAGGCTGAAAATATTCATATGGTCTTTGGAGAATAGTCATTGGCTTTCGATTCTAACAGAATGAGTCAATAATGGATATTCCATTCAATCAGATAAAATAATTTTCCAAGAACTTACTTCAGTTATGATAGATTGTGACATAGGATACATTAATCTAATAAGGCAATTTTCTTTATCAAATTCTAGGTAAAATGTCACGACATAAAGTATTAAGTGCTTGATGCCAATAAAGGATGGGACAGTGTTGGTCCAAATTATTGCAAGAGGACACACTTAGCTAAGCTGTGGTAGTTTTACATTGTATGACTAAATGCCTGTTAATCGGTTAGTACTCTTTAACATTGACTAACTGATTGTCTTAGTGATTGGCTTTTTTGGAATTTCATTTTATGTTTTTTAGATCAAAAGTAGTTTCTATTTTAAAATGAACATTTAATGGACAAAATATTACAAAAATTATCGCCACTGGTCTAAAAGTCATATACAACAAGGATCTATTTATGCCTGCTGCTTAATTTTTCATTGCAAGATGAAATGATGCTAATTGAGTGGTAAATGCAGCTAGATTGATTGCAATTTTTGAAGACAACAAAATATGTACATTACATATTGAGATTTTTATGTAAAGACTTCAATGGTAATTATAAAGATGAAGTCAACGAATTGAATGAGATGAAAGAAAGCTTATGAGGATTCAACCAATTGCTCCAACTTCCCAAGAAGAAATAGTCGATGTTTGAACAGCTTTTATAATTACCAAAGGTTTGTTGTATTCACTATGATTTATAACAGTCATTCGACTTATAACATCCCTACCTTGTACCTGCGAACTGATATATTATTATATTCTTATGCGGAGTACAAAAAAAAAAACAACTTAGATGAGGGCAAGCTTTAAGTTCATTCTACAACAAAAAAGTGGTACTGGCAATTTGAAGAGGACACAGGAAATCAGTCCACCACTGCTGCAGCTAATTCACCAACCCAAAAGCAAAGGCTCCCTATCAAATCAGCTAAGACCACCTCTGCATAATCGAGACCAGTGATAGTGTACAAGCGAGCCCTGCAAATAAGGATAAAGAGAACTGATGAATCAAATATTTTAACTTATTTTTGTTAACGAATTGAATGATAGCATTGTTTGAAAAATTATTTTTGACTATATGAAGAACCTCTTTTGATAGCATATCTGACCAATTATCTTTTGCATCTGAAGTAAAATAAATTCAATGGATCATAATACATGGAGCAATATTTTAACTAGAAGCGCTATAAGTACTATTGCAATAACGCAATCAGGTTAGGAATTACTTAAATGATCAGCAATATGAGATGTGTTCTACTTGAGCACCTACACATGACTTAGCATTTTAAAATGTCATGCTACATTATTACATATGACTTTGGCATTTTAATGTGTAATGTATTGCTTTATTATCTTCTTGTGTAAAGCTTTCAATTGTAGAATTGACTGGCTCAGTTAGGTTGATGGTTTACACTTTTGACTCCGAATAATATATAGGTCTATGCCGTGAACAGTGCACAGCTAGCCCAATCTAGTACCTCCAATAAGGCACTCTATATTCCCATCTATAGGTTAAAAATTGCCCATACAGCCATTTTTTAATGACGCAATGTTCTTTCATTGAATTTTGGACGAAAAAAATTAACTCTAATGTTTGACTTGTCATTGCAGGGATAAAGTGTATATGTCCTGAGTTTAAGAGGGCAAATGTTACCTAAGGTCAAGTTCCAGTGATAAAGTGTAATTAACCCTAAAAGCTCATTTGGGGAAGAGGATGGTTACTGATTGGAGCAAGCATCAGGCATCTACAGCAGCTCCACCTCGAACCCTCAATGTGCAAAAATTGGCCGAATCACGAGCTAGTGAATTGCACTCTCTTCATTCAATTGTCGGTACTCATCTCCAAAATGATTTTCGTTCCCAGAGAAACAAGAGGAGGAGAACCACTAGCCACATAAAGAAAAGATTCTGTTATGATATTAGTAATAATGGGCTTTCGGAGACAGACGAGAAGAGGCTCCCTCGTCGTATCCGTCGGAGAATTCATCTAAAAAGGAATCCTCTGACTGGCTTTTCTACATCTGGAGATGGGACCAAGAGATTATCAACACATGTTTGGCATGCTAAGCGCTTCACCGTGTCTAAACTCTGGGGATTTTACCTTCCTCTCGGCCTCCATGGCAGGTAGTCACTTCTTTATTTCCGACTCCAACCAATCATGAATGCTAACTATGATATTTTTTTTCATTTATATATCTATTACTGATGTATATATTACCTGAGGCAGAGGTAAAGGTTCAAAGGCTCTCCTCAAGAAGTCAAAGCAAGGAGTGCTTGTGCACGACTCAAGTTACTATAGTGCTGTTCAGCTGGAGGGTCCAGAGGCAGGCATTTCTTCATGTTCTACCTTGCAAGCATCTAGTTTGAAATGCTTCTATACTGTCAAACCAATTTCATAGGTTGCTGCTACCAAAAAACAAAAGTAAGTTATATGCTATACATGACATTACTGTTTCATGCTTTCAGGACCTCTTATTGTTGATTCTAAGTCAAGTAATGGTCCCTTCTCCATTAGAAAATTCTGGTCAGACATCCCAGCTTATAGTTGCTGGTGTCACATATGGTAGTGCTATGGTAGGTTACTGTCTTGATTTTTTTAGCTACCCATCAAAATTGTAATACATGTTGGTGTTTGACTTTTGCGTGTGTATTGGCAGCTTCATCATGTTGGGACTGTATTTGCTCAACCAGTTGCTCCGGTGACCTACATGTGGCGACCACAAAATCCAATTTTGACTGCAAGGGTAGACAAAATTGATAGCAAAGATGAGCAGCAGAGCATAGACAGCTATGTCTCGTCTAGACAGCTGTGGATATGGATACATCCTGCTGCTTTTAGAGAAGGATATGATGTTCTGGAGTCTGCATGTGAAACCGTATGTTCTTTACCTAACAGCACTGAAGAACATGTCTTTTCGCCTTTGAGTTTTGCTCATATTTTCATTTAAATACTGTGCAACTTACTTTTTTAATTTCTGTTTCTTTTATTTTATTTTTGGCCAGTTGCTGCTCTTGATACTTTCTAATTAATTGAGTACTTTTTCCTTTTGCTCTGTGTTTTTGTTTGTTTGTTTTTCTGTATAATGCCCTTATTTTAGCCAAGATCGTGAACTACTTGATGGTGATGAAATTGCTTATGGACTAGTTATATGTCCCAATCTTCATTTACAAGATTTGTTTGCTGTCTTGTGAGTTGCTATTGTGGGTTTGCAGGCAAACTTAAATGGACGCTCAGTGAATTGTGTCTCGCTTGAGGGCAAGCTTGGAAAACTGGACCTGATAGGTTTCAAGGCATTTCAGCTTATGCAGAACATATTGCATCCTTTGACCTGGTGATTTAGCTTATAGTATTGCCTTTTCTTCTGAAACCATATGGCTGTAGATAAGGGAAGCTCATGGCTGAATTGAATTTGCTTGTTATGCAGCTCTACAAATTCTTGCGCTGTGCCGAAATGCTCAGTTGCTGTAAATAACAATAAATCTTCAACAACATACTCATGGTCCCTTCCACAGGAAGATCAAATTTCAACTTCAGCTATCATTTCTCTCACGGTAAAAGATCCACGTGCCATTGCAGAAAAAGGATTTGCTGTTTTGCCAGAAACAAAACCTTCTGAGATTCTAGGTGCTAAAGAGACAAATATGCAAGGAGACACAACCTTGGAGAGGATTCTACCCCGGAACCCAGGGTCCCTTTCGTCATTGCTTTTAAACCGTGAAGAAAAATATCAGTTTTCTGATTTCATTGATTTGTGGGATGTCTCCAAAGGGGCAAATCCGCCAGTGGAAGAAAGTTTTCTTTGCAAAAAAAAGCACTGTCAGTTGATGAAATTTTTCAGTATTGGTGAGGAGAATTCCAATAACTTAGATCCTTCAGGTGTGAGGCAGTTCTCTCAATTATGCCCCATTATGCTTTTGAAAGATAATTCTGGCAAAGGCTTTACAACAAGGTAAAAGCGCACTAACATCTTTGATACAAACACAAAGATGTACACCAAGTATCAGTTTACTTTTTGCATTTGTTTATGTGCCTTTGCTTTTCACTTGCCAAAGATCGTAGGATATTGAATTTTTGTGGTCTTGGGAAAAGAAGCATTGGATGTTATTATAGGATTCAACCAGTTTAATAACAACCTGACAGATGGACAGTGAGATGCTCTTCTGGTTTGTTTAATTGAGAGAGCACCTTCTGTAAATCAAGTGTATCGTTTCTGATATTCATTTTTTGTCATCCCTTTAGATGGACTGCCATTCTCCCTTTAAGCTGGGTCAAAGTCTTTTGGATTGCCATTATCTCCAATGGTGCTCAAGCTATAGGTTTGAGAGAGA